GACTGTCTCAAAAAACAGTAACAAACAAGGAATTAATGATAACTAAACAGGCCATACTTTCTCTTATTTTTTTATTCCATTTACTGTTTTGTATTACTTAAAAATTTTATATTCTACCAGTGCAAGATTAAAAAATAATAAGCATATTTGTCATTAGAGTTCTTGTGGATTGTTTACTTCTGCCTCCTGAGTACAGAGGGCAAATCAAGGGGAAGAGAAGAAACACCCTCACAGGGTCGGTAGAGCACCCACGCTAATGTTTCTTCCTGTATGCGTTGTGTATGCTTGCCTCAGGACACTTCTTTACTCTTTGCTGAAGTCATCACTTAAATGGTCACACCAACTTGAAGACTAGGATGGCCTAGGGATTCTGGTGGCTTTTGACTAGGCTCCTTTCCAACTGCACTATGGGTCTCCCTAAGAATTGCACTTTCAGGGCCTTCTTTACCCTACAGGATCTTTGCTACTGAGGGATTCCTCCCCAACCCTCCTTAAGTAAAAGAGCTAGGGACTGTGAAAGGGAAGGGGTCTTAGAGGTCACTCAGTTCAACCTCTTCCCCACTGAAAATATTCAGAAACCTTCCAAATATTCACAGGCACCTATCATATTCTCTTAGGGCTTTCCTCTTCAAGACCACAATAGCTTTAAGAAGAACTCAGAATAAAATATACAAGGGATCATGAAATTTATCTTAGAACTGCAATCTTCCTAACTGTGCCTTGTATAACAATCTACGAGGTTTATTGAACTGAAATTTACTACACACACACTCACACACACAAACCAAAACCTCACCACTATTTATCAAACACTGAGAAAAGTAGCATTTACTTAAATCCAAAGGAAGTACAATTTTGAAGTAAAATGAAGTTAATCACTTAACCATTCCAAAGGTAGATATAGAAAGATATTATAAGGCTAGCAACGGTTCTCCAGAAATGGAGATGACACTGTATATATGTAAATATGGATCTGCATTTGAGACAAAGACAAATCAGATTACAATAAAAATGCTTCTGCAAATCTCTAGCTTTCTGAAAGATATTGATTGTGACTTTAAAGACCTAAAAGTAAAAACAAAATTTGTGTATATCATAAAATTTTAAGAAATTGATAATTTGCCCCAAAAATATTAGAAAAGAAACTATAAAATTACAGATTAAAATAAAACTAGATTTATTGAGAGACACATGGTTCTTTATTTCTGAAACTTTATAATATCTGAAAAAACAATATTGCTCTCTTCTAAGAATGATCACTGAATCATAAAGATTCAATAACATTTATATAAGCAGTATTTTGTTATCAACTTCAAATAACAAAAAAACTAAAAGTTACACATCACTGAGCACACTGTAATATTAAAACAGCACACGCTCTCCAAGAAATAAAACATTCAAAGACATATGAATGTAAAAGACAAAAAAGGTTACCATGCAATACCAAGATGGAAGAATTTAAGGATAGGGATAAGCTTATATATAAAGAAACTGAAATACTGCCTGGCACCTTATCACAAGAAAATGGCCAGGGAGACCGTTTCCATATTGTAAATATGCCCAAGAGAGCCTGAACTGAGTTGCAGGCAGAAGTCACTTTGGTTTTTCCAGGTGAATGCTAACACCAGAAGGTCCAGCTGTCAAGGCAGGGGAAGGCAGGGAAGGGCAGGTAAGGCGGGGGAAGGCAGGGGAAGGGAGGGGAAGGTATGGCAGGCAGAGCAGAATGGGATGAGTGGGATGGGACAGCATGGCACAGCGCAGCACAAAAACCACATCAAATTAGTTCCTTAGGTAAAAGCACAAGCAAATTGTGTGTCAGTTATGAATCACTGTTAATAAAAAAGGAAAAGACATTTAAGGGGTACTACAAACCATATAGGAATATGAAAAATCCAAAAAAAAGAGGAAGTATTCGTAAATTATTTTTAAGCTGTTTATCCTGTGCAGTGTTTTTGACCCACAGTTTTGTGACATATCAAGATAATATCCAAGGGCTAAAGACGTAGCTTACCAGTACAGCACTTGCCTAGTGTGTGAGGCTCCGAATTAATCCTTAGCACTGGGTGGGGAAAAAAAGATAATATACCAAGTAGCTGCTAACAGAGGAAGTCTCTTTTTGTGGCTTATTAGTTCTGCGGCCTTAGGAAATATTACTTCTCTGAGTCTCGGTTTGACCATATAAAAAGTATAAACAAAGTATTCAGAAGATTAAATGAACTCACATATATAAAGTCTTACAAAATCTTACACATAACAACAAGCAGTAATCTTATCATTTATATGCTCAAAGAACATAAATTATTTACAGATCATTCAAAACAGAGCAACCCTCAATCTACAAAATCAGAGGCAGTTGAAGCTTCAGTAGGTCCAAATTGTGTTACCTCATCAAGAATACAGGAGGTATATAAAAAACACATAGGACATTAACTTGTTAGGAAGATAGCACACAAACATTAATGTTTAAGACATTAATAGATCATCACAAAGGAATGACTCTTTAAACAAAATTGGGATTGTGTAGTCTTCAAATGAAAAGAGTGAGGGTAGTTTGGACAAGAGTAAGACAGTAATAACACTGGAAGCACACTGGATTCAGAAAAGATTTCTAAGTAGGATATGCTATTTCCATTCTGAGCTTTAGTCAATTGAGCATAGTCATAGAGCAAAGGCTCTGGAATCAGGCAGACATGAATTTGAACCCTGACTTCACTCTCTGGCCTTGAACAAATTAGGTAAAACCTCTGTATCTTAGCTCCCTCACTGTGTAATGAAGAGAATAATGGTATCTACTTTTTTGGGTGGTTGCAGGAATTGAGTACGATACTGCACATCACTTCCTGAACTAATAAATGTCAGCAGTCAGTGGTTATGTAAGACATGTCCTTTCTGTAGATTTCAGCCAAAATATCAAAGCCTTGGTGAGCACAATGATACAGATGTATAGTAAAGATAATATAATATATTCCATTCAAGTCACTCTAATTTCATTCATGTAGGAATATAAATTATTACTGCTCATTTCAGAGCTGCATTTCTCTAATAAACAAAATTGGGTAATTGGGTAAAATATTAGTGAAAAACATGGCTGATCTTTTCCGTTAGTTTGCCGTTTCTCATAATGGGTCTCAGCAGACCTCACCCATTTAGTTTTCTTCCTAATTCTGTGTCTAGCTTAGACCTTGAACCTGATAGCTATTAGGTGACGGCAGGTGGTAAATAAAGCGGAATGAATTGATTTTTGGGCAGTCCACCTGAACGTTGCTGTTTAAATTTCTTCTGTGGGTGAGAAAACATTCAGCCTATATTTTGAGATGATGTGCCACAGCGTGGTAGTTGCGAACACAGGTACGGGAGATACAAAGAACTACATTTGGATTGTGATTCTGCGTATGAAATCTCACTCCACACAACATGATCCCATACAGGTTAATCTGTCTAAGCTGTTTTGCTCATTTAGAAAATTGGTATAATAACAGAAGTGTTGTCTGTAGGACAATGCCTTGCATATGGAAAGCGTTCATTTAACAAGTGATTTATACCAAAGATCAGATAATAGAACTTGAAAAAGATCAGCGCCATCAAACTTGTGGAAAAGATTTCCAACGTTAGTGTTAAAGTGGATAGGACACATGTACTTTTCTCTTACAAACAGGAAAATACCTTAGTAGCCATCCTAATGACCCCATATCAATTTACACATATTTTTAACCCTATGGATCTTCTCTTTGGTTATAAACTATATTTAGCATTCACAAAATATTTACATTGGAAATAGTTTATCAGTAGGAAGCAAACTTTTTAGAGAATACCAAAATTGTAGAGAACAAGTGTGCTCATGAATTACATGTAAGAACTTGTGTGAACAATTAAAATGAAACTAACTGCATTGAGCAAAATTGCAATCATCCTAAATTAACCAGTTTTGTATTTTGCCACAACCCAACTTGCTGTGTCTCTTCCGCAATGTCATTCAGCTTTCAGAGGAAAACGAAAATTTCAAGAAAAAATATTAATGTATCTAAAAGCTCCTATACCAATGTTAATTTGGTCTGCTGGCATTTAAATAATGAAGATAAGTAAAAACATAGGGAGATATGGGAACAACAAAAAGGTTATATATACAAAGATCCAGGAACAGTTTACCAAATGATAATTTTCAAATATTTAAATAATGTAGTTTATAAATCCAGTTAGAAATATCTCAGAGATTCATGATTAAAAGTTTTAAAATAATCATGTTTCACCTTGATTTTTATCCACTGGGGGAAAATTAAAATCATGATATAAAGTCTATTATATCATAATAATTTCTTTCCTTTTTCTTTTACCTTCTGAATTAAATTCGGAATTTTCAAATCACCCTTTAATTGCACACATTCTTATAGAAAAATTAGAGGAACTTTTAAAATTAGCCATAGCATAAATGCTATATCTTGCTAAGAAATTAAACTATAACATTTTATAATTAATATTTCATAATTGCTCTTTCATAAGAATTACCTGACTAAAATGTTAATAAGCTTTATATTTCTAATTTTAGTTAATGCAAATTTCAACAAATTCTCAGCAACTCTTCTTAATCTAACAATGTTTTGCCTCTAGACAATTACAATGGATTAAAAATTAAGTTTTTATGATCCATATATAACTGTATATAATTATACCAGTTTCACCCAATACTTGATCATTTGTTGTATGCAATCAAGAGAAATGAAACTCTTATTTGCAAAATTTTTGGCTTACACTTTCTATATCATTAACAATTCAACAGAAAAGAAAACACTTCTCTGAGTATATGTACATAAAAAGCAATTCATAAAAGATAAATGTGTGCTGCAAAATTTCATTACATTTATTTTTTTATTTATTTCCAAGTTTGCAATGAGATTTAACCAAAGAAAAACCAAAACCCAAGCAAAACAAAAAAATACCCCCCTCCCGTTAAAGATATCAAAAAGTTTAAGTTAAACCCAACAGAAAATGTAAATGTCACTAACCCAAGGCATGCACTGCTCCTCTATGCTTGCTGGAGCTCTTGCTTGTTTTAACTGCACGAACAACATTTTCTTTGAACTGCAGCTCACAAAAGTTTTCAAGAAATTTTCCCATTTCTTCTGTAACTGTATCCAAGTAAGTTTCTTTAATGAATTTCACTGTTAAAGATGGAGCTAAAATTTCACATAGTATGCTGAAGTCCTCTTTTATCATTGAATATAACTTAAGCATTGTACCTTGGTATCCATGAGCTGTTACATCTAAATTTAAATCTCTGCTGTAAGAAGGAAAGGTGTTCTGCAGAAGTTTAGCCAACAGTTTATTCTGTATGTTTTGGTACTTGACGATAACTTCTGATTCTGGATAGAGAAACAAGAGTTGTTGTATGCACTGAGTTTTCAGAACAATTTTTTGCTGTGAACTGTTTATTTCATTGTGGCTTTGTAATCTGTTCACTAAGAAGCGTCGAAGCTGCAGTCTTATGTCATCCCATATAGACTTCACATCCATTGAGGAATGATCTTCAACAGAATGAAGAGAAGTGCTAGACAGGCAATAAAAAGGTGTTTCGCTTAAAGTTGATGGTAATGAAATACTGCTCTGGAGGGACAGGTCCCAAAGTAAATCCAGTATCATCTCTTCTTGATTTTGTTCATTCTTCAACAAATCTTGCTGGTAAAAGTAAATTAGCACATTAGAAATGTACTGAATCTAAATACAACAAGAAAGATGACTTTAGAATCAATACTCTGCTGCCTTTCTTTTTTCTTTTCCTTTTTGAATTTAATTAATTTAGACAGTTTTGAGTATGAGCTTTTATAGTCTGTTAAATTTGGTAAAGCCCAGCTGGTTGACTATCAATAGAGTTCCAGACATAGAGTTTTTAGCTTTTATTGTTACACCCTTGGTAATGCCTGAGCTGTATGAAAGCTGAAGCTCAAAAATTCTAAATAAAAATCTATACTGAAGTATTGACAGAAATGTGTTCCTAAGACAAAATAAATTCAAGATCATGCCCCTAATTAATTCTTGGTAGATAATTTTCATGCTTCAATGAGTGTACTTATTATTATAAAACCCCAAATGAACACACAATGCTTAAAACTGGTCTAGAATAGAGTGGAGATCTTTAAAAATAGTATGTTCCTACGGGTTACTAATAGTTACCCTCTTGAGAAATAAAATTTAATACACTGAATGATTTCAGCTTGCATTCAAATTCCTCAGAACCACGTTAAGAAAGATTTTACTTTGAAAATTAATCTGAGAATATTTCAGCTCTCTCTTAAGAAACAGTCATTCAAAATGGGATAAAGACATTCTCAAAATTGCTCCCAAAAAGATGATATGAAATTTCCTTTTATACATTCTGTGCTGACAGAAAACAATGGTGTGTATAATTATGAATAATAAAGGAACAAAAATTACTCTCTACTTGGACTTTGAATTACACACACACACATTCTCCTTACATGCTGACTTTCCCAATTATATCTACTTCAGCTAATAGTGAAATTAGTTTCTATTCTTTAAGAAGAAACAAGCTGATTACAAGAGGAAGCAAGGACAAAGTGGCATATAAAAATTGGGTTAGCTTTAAAAGTTCTTATTGCTAAAGATACCACAGGTATTATGTGTGATTCACAATTATGAACAACTTCTAGACAAACTCCTGGAATTTGCTTTCAGTCAGGCTAAGCACTGCAATGCCAACTTTAAAGTTCTGTCTGTAATAATTACATCAATATTTACATACTTTATTATATGAAAGGCATTCCCACACACAGTCTCTGGTTTATTCATATAAAAACTGTGGCATAGATATTTAAAAATTCATTTTACAGATGAAGACACTAATATGAATGCCTAAGTGACTTTCCAAACATCACATATAAACAGGCACAGGACCAAGAATAGATCCCTGGATTCACTCTTCATCTGCATTCTGTCTACTACACTCAAGAGAATGACACGGTGCATGGAGCCTTTCAGTAGCTTCTTCCCCTCTGTCCTCTCCTGATAGTTAGCTCTTTTGACACCTCTAGAAAACAAATGTCTTTAGATACGAGTCCATGTCGTGGCAGCATTAAGGCGAATGATCATATTAGTGCCTCAGCCAGGGGTCTCTTCAAGCCAGTTAGTAACTGTAAACACTTAGTCAAACAAAGAAGACTAGATTGTAGAAGTTTACGGCATGTGTTCTGCATGACTGCTTACATTTTCAAAATAACTCCAGTATAACTGCTATAATGAGAATCTCTGCTTCTTAACTAGATAATTAATAAAAATTTTCTATGAAAAAATACCACCCAAAATGACATGTTTAGCATGTAGAAGGTTGATAATAAGGCCATTTTAATCTGGGCCTGTTTTAATAATGTAATTCCTTCCTCAAAATAACATGATCAATTATTTAAAAAAAAGAAAAACCTAGGTCTGGCACAAGCATATCAGTCTAATGAGTTTGAACAAAACTAAGGCGGCCTTTGCCCTGCAGTGAATAGAGAATAACTTATGTGTGACAGATTAAAAGATAATTAAAAGCTTTTGCTTTTAATTAAATGAGAAAGCATTATTACATCAATATTAATGAAATTCAATACACATGGCTCTTAATAGAAATTAAAGGAATAACTATATCCATATTTATTCTTCAAGGCTCTACCTTCAAGAGATAATGGGTGAGAGGGAGGATTTTCTTAAAAGATTAAGGCTTCAGGGCACAGAGTCTTCCTTTCTCTTCCTTTTATTACTTTGTAAACATTAAAGAGACATCTGTAATAATAACAACAGCCAAGAACTGTTTTCATCTGATTCTGTCATCCTAAGCCATCACGACCTCAAGATATTTTCCACATCTGCCTTAGTCGATGTTTGATGTTTAGACAAAAACAGTGCCTTTCCTCCCCTAAATTAAATTAAAACCATGACTACAGAAACAGTGCTAACAATCATGCTCTTTCTCTGGGAATCTGTTTTCATAAGTTAGCCACCGTTGTAGACGTAGGTGTAATAAAATAACTGTTCCTGCTCAAGAGTTCAAAACTTTTCTAATCGAGGAGGTGGTCAGTATCAAAGGCAGACCAATATAATAATTCTCCATTCATCAAGTGAGCTCAGTTAAATTGTCGCCTAGATTTAAAAAAAAAAAAAAAAAACAACAAAAAACTGGATATGACTGTAAGTTGCAAATGCAGAGAACCAGAGATAAAGCCACTTCAGAGATATAACCGGTGGGAATCTTATTAAGTTTAGTACTTAGCATAGAGCAACTTAGTAGTGGTGAAGGAATATATAAAAATGTAAACTTCTCTGGAAGACAACCTCTGTATACATTAATACATTTTGTGGTACAGAAATGCTACATATCACATCGTAAATCACCCAGGAATTATAATATTTAGCCTCCAGTTATATAAAATTTCTCTCTATTGATAAAAATCATAGTAAAATTTTTTAAAAAATAGTTCACTGGATTCTATTGGGGATACAGAAACAACACACAATAAACCTGTACACCTCTAGGTATGGCATGCCAATATCACTAAAATAAATATTTACATGTAGAAACTGAATGAACTGTAGTCCCGGTTCACCTCCCCAACTCCATTACAAAACCAAAACAAAAAATGTTTTACCATTGTTTCAAGGAATTTTATCAAATCTCCATGGGGAATGGAAGGTGGCTTGGACGTACTGTAACTACAGCGAGTCAGCCATTCAAAGCAGTCCGCTGCTGTTGGCAGCTGCACATCTGGACACTGTTTGTTCACTTCCTTCTGTATTTCTGTAATGCAGTGCTCGATGCTACAAAAAGAAAAGATGTAATTCTTTTGGTAGGAAGTAGACAATGGTGCTATCCCATAACAACAGACCTGCTATGTCTGTGTGGGGTATCTGGCTGTATACCATTTACAAAATTTACAGAATGTTCACATGATATGAAAATAATAACCAAGAGACTATGCATTTTCATTCCTAGTTGAAAATTGAGAGTTTACATTTTCTGGCAGAAGAAATGTGACAGAGAAAGTATAAAGTATACAGAATTATAAAATTATAGTTTCTTAGAGATGACTTAGAAATGATTTTGTGTTAAAACAAATACCAAGCATAAATATAATGGCTCTCTTGACAGGCAGTGGATGGAAGGCAGAGAAAAAATGGTCCCAGTGACAATAAGTCAGTAACAATACTATGTGCTAACAGATGAATGGTAATATAAGTTATGGAAGATTTAAATTGCTGGAATATTAAGAAGTCATTCAGGCACAGGGGTGCACACCTATACTACTCGCATTCTCGGAGGCTGAGCCAGGAGGATCTCAAGACCAAGCTCTTCCTAGTAAACGTTAGTGATGTTAAGAAGACTCTGTCTTAAAAGAAAAAAAAATTAAAAGGGCTGGGGGTGTACATGAATGAAGGCTCTGTGTTCAGTCCCCACTACCACACACAAAAAGTCCAGAAGCAGTTACAAAGAGCTTGTGATTTTTATATTAAAAGCCGTATAAATAATGTATAATGTTGCTACAGTTAAATACCTTTTGTTGCCATGTAACTCCATTCTAAAAGAGAAACATACACTAAAACTTCATGTACAAAAGAAAAAAAGGAAGACTGGGAGAAATGAAGCAAAAGGTTAACGACAATTATATCTCTGTGATGCAATTAAATGGATTTTTAATTCACTTTTCTATATTTCCTAAGTGTTTATAAGAAATAAGATGAAATGATTTTACAAACACAGAAGCAAAAAAAATCCAGGTGAGTCTTGTTTCTGTTTGTAAAATTCCATGTAAAGGATCCTTAGTTCTGGTAAAATAAGATACCCTATGCTATTCCAATTTCCATATATAATTCTGTGCATTCATGATTTTAGGTCTTGCGGGGGGGTGGTGGGGGTAAAGCCCTGACCTTGGCAGAGGGCCAGCTGCAGAGCCATGGGGATGTGACACGTTACTACCACCTGATGGCAGCACACCAAACCACAGAAAGCTTGCAAACCCAAGCATTCCTTTGAAGCTGAATCACCTCCTCACCTGGAAGTGACACTTACTCTATTGTCTCCTAATAGTTCCAAGGAAGATTTGTTGCAAGCAGAGAAAGCAACTGTTTTAAAACTATAATTGCCATTAAGTATACATTCCATGTGGTAGAACCATGTGGGTTTTAGCAACCATGCTCCATTACTAAAATTGCTGTTATACAAAAAACTGCACAATTTGTCAGGTGTGGGTTGTCTATAAAACACACAATGTAAAATAGCGAAACTTTTCAAAAGACTTCAGAGCATGAGACAATTCTAACTAAATTACCTTGAAAAGATAACTTCTGAGAATCAAAGAGGCTTTTCATGAAAACAAAGAATTTAAAAGAAAAAAATAATACCTCCTTTGGCCACAGGCCACTGAATTTCCCGACGGGACAGCGGCTCTGAGGCTGACAAGAGACTGGCATGAGTTTTCCCAATTTACGTAAGCACTTCTGCAGACGGGAAATACATGCTCAGTCACCCTGACTTTGGGGACGCCTTATTGAAGGTTTTCACTACACCATCCTCATGTGTCTCATTCGGTGAAACCTAACAGATAACAGCAATGCAAACTGCAAAGGCTCAGGCCGGGGATATAGCTCAGTGGCACAAGCGCCTGCCTGGCAAGCACAAGGTCCTGAGCTCAATTCCTGGTACCAAAAAAAAAAAAACAAAAACAAAACTGGAAAGGCTCAGCAGTGAGTCTACCTAAATCTGTTTCAATCAGGACTCAGGCTTTTAGGTTAATCTCTAACATCTGAATCTGGGAAGAGGCCAGTCACTACAGTTTATAAATAGGATAAAGCCTTCAGAGGGCTAGATATTTTGGTAAGTTGTCCAAATGCTGATAAAAGGATTAAATAGTTGCATTTCAAGGGACCTCCCTTACTGCTATAACTTAAGACACTTCAGCTTGTTTTTAAAATCATTTTGCCAGAAATTTTTAAATACCAGAACCCATTACTGGCACTTGATTTTGTTTTTACATGACTCAATATTTTGTCAACCTGTCATTCTTCAGTATCTATATATCTTATTCTAAAAACTTAATCCTCTGAATTCTATTGATTTCTTGTCCAATTGTTTTATTTTTTTTATTTTTTATTTTTTTTTGTCTTTTTGAGACAGGGTCTCACTATGCAGTTCAGGCTGGCCTTGAGCTCACTTTGTAGCTCAGGCTGGTCTCAAACTCGCAACTATCTTCCTGCCTCAGCCTCTTGAGTGCTGGGATCGCAGGCATGCGCCACCACGGCCAGCTCTTGTCCAATTGTTATACAAAAGGAATATTTTTAAAATTTAGGGTGGATGTCAGGGCAGTCTAACAACTTATCTTCTCTTGTCCAGGTTAAAATTAAATTAAAAGTTAACTTTCAACATTTAAAAGGTACTATTATTTTCAAATATGTGTCTTGGGGATGGTAATCTGGGATAGAGGAAGTCTATTTTTAGGCTTAGATGATACAAGCTCTTAATTCCGGTTTTCTGAAATTCCACAGCACCTGTCTTTATTATGTTTTAAGCAGTTTCTGTTTAACTGGAAATTGCTTCAGATTTTCTTTAGAAGCAAGATCAGCCATGAGAAAATAACCTAGCTAATTCAACAAACAAAAAGGTAATTAGTACATTTATTGTGAGATACCAAACTTTAGGGCAAAATTTAAAGAGTCTAAAAATAGTAGCAGATTTTCTTTCAACTTTACTAATATTAATTGAGTTTAGCAAGTGTTCTTTTTTTTTTTTTTTTGGTACTGAGAATGGAGCTCGGGGCCTTGCCCTTGCCAGGAAGGTGCAGTGCCACTGAGCTAAACCCCTGGCCCCCCTAGCAAGGACTTTCTAAAGCATCTTCTTAGCTTTATTTGTAATATTAAAACCACAGGAAAATGTTTTAATGTCCAGCAATAGAAGAATGATTAAATGGTTAATAGTTCATTCTGTGGAATAGAACCATAAAAATAAAGTAGAAATACAGAGAATCTAACAAACACAATGTTGAGGAGAAATGAACCCCACATGAATATATACAAATGATACTAGCCATATAATAATTTGAAAATATTCTATGTAATGCCACATATTGCTCAAGATCATTAACACAGGTAGTAAAAGTGTGCGGAAATGCATAAGCCCACATCCCGGTCTTGTAGGAGTGCATGAAAGTGGGATGAGGTTGAGGAGAAGGACACAGAGCTTTAGCAGGATTTGCAACGTTTTATTCCTTAAGCTGGATGTTGAGAACATGAGTATTTATCATAGCACTCTATGCCTCTTCATAAGCTTCCACATTCCTTCCTAAATTTGTACCCACATGTGCAGTAATTATAATGACTCTGAATTATCCAAGTTAATGGTGTGTGCGAGTGGGGTATTACTGACAGGCGCTGTATAAGTCAATTTATAAACCATTTTTAAAATGCAATATGGAGTGTGCTTTTTTAAAAGAATATCTATGGCAATTTTCTCAGCCAACATCATTCTTGGACTGCAAAAACTGCTTCTAGAATGAGGCATGGTATTTGATAAGCATTAACTGAATGCTAAGTATGTGGTAGGTACTGTGATACGTACTACCAGGGATCTAAACACGAATGAGACATCACCTCATCCCTAATTCTGTCTAGTGAGAGAGAACTGTAAATAAATAACTGCAATACAGGACGACTTGCTAAGAGGTGCATACAATACACATAGGGAGTACACAGTAGGGAGCCTCTAAATGCACCTGTAGGAAGAGTTGAAATGGCTTCTCCTCAGAGAAGAAGAGATTACACACAAGGACGCTGGTACTTTAAGAAAATTTATAAACTCATTGTACCTAACATTCACCTACAGCTGACCCCTCAGAAGGTAGTACTGATCATCTAACTTCACTGCTGTTTCACTTTAAAATTATATTTACCTGAATAATAAAAGCATTCATTTATTTTTACAGCCACAACTTTTTTCTTCCCTTCAACCCTGGGCCAGGTCTTCAATGGACCCACAAATTTTTACCTTAAAAGTGAGGGCTTACTTCTCACTGGCCCATGAACTATGATCATCTCTGAGAAATAGTGGTTCAACTATTATTGGCTCAAGCTCCACACAGGGCCTGAATTTTCAGTATAACAATCTTACTCATACTTTAGGTATCCTCACAGTTTCAAAACAGACAAGACATGTGCTTCCCTTTCCTTATTTCTCATGGAAAGATAATTATACTATTGTTTAGGACATCTCCAAACAACAATTCTTTATTACCTTATACCTGCTTGCTGTAGAGTAAGTAAAGTTAAAGCACATAAAAATAAATGTATTCGGGGCTGGGGATTTAGCTCAGCGGCACAGCGCCTGCCTGGCAAGTGCAAGGTCGTGAGTTCAGTTCCCGGTACCGAAAAAAAACCAAAATAAATAAATAAATAAATAAATGTATTCATTTACAAATTTTCCAACACCTAAAATGTACATGTTACTTGAAAGAACCCTGGTATAAAGAAGGATCTATCTGGGTCATCTGTAGGAAAATGGATGCACTTTGAGACTATAACTGTAGGTTAAAAACAATCATATGCAACGCTTAAAAATTGAATGGTTTCTCTTATATGAGAAACCCAAAGTATAAATAAATTAAAGAGCAAAATAAAAGGTAACAGGAAGTAGGGAAGGGACCAAGGGATGGAGGGAAGGGAGAGAACAGGATATAAAAAGAAGTAAGATGTGTCACACACACGTACCAACTTTCCCCGATGAATGTAATCATTATGCACTGCAAACATGTATTATTAAAAATAAACATTAAAAAAAGAATGACCCTGCTCATCTCAAAGCCTAATGCAGAGGTTTAAAGAGAAGAACTGAAGACTCTGTAGGAATATGAAGAAAGGAATGAGGATCGCCACAGACATCCGCAGTCATGTAGTTAATAATGACAGAAAAGGCTGAGGAGAGGGGGTGCATCAGACTGCCGCTGAGAGACAGGAGCTGGTCTTCTTCCCGCTCACTGACACCTCTACCTACAAGCGGTACCAGACCTCACGGTGAAGCTTCACCGGGAGGAATGGAGAAGGTTAAAAAGTGGGAAGTATGAACAGACCCACACAAAGTTTACATCACTGAGTGCTGGGGCCCAGAACGCTGTGTGCCTGAGAAAGACAGAGCACACTGGACAGGGCCCAGGCAGAGGCACCTGGAAAGCATATTCAGCTCTTATTGTGGCCTCCGAGATACAGGCGGGAAGTGGCCCCGTTCTGTTTTCACCCCCTGTAGCGTGGCCTTGTTCAGCGGGACAGGAGGAGTGGTCAGGGTTCTATCAAATGGAGAAGGAAATAAAGAAACCTCCAAAATACAAATGCAGAAAAGTGGAAGAAAGGAGCACTCATTAAGTGCGAAAATACTGCCAAAAATAATATACTGTATACTACAGCCTTCCAAATGAATTTCATTTTATGCTATATGCATGGTTGCAAAATGTACTGATATATGTGTTTGTGTGTGCATTAGTGGATGTGTGGCTCTGCCACACGCAGCCCACAGTTGGTAGATTACTTGCAGATTTCTTTCAGTTACCTCTTCCAGACTTCTATGCTATCCTATGGAAAACTCTAATTTTTTTTCACATATAAGCTCAAAATATATAAGCAGTATGTGGGAATTAAGTATCATCTGTGGGCTATGTATCCTCCCATTAATAAGTATAATTCAATTTGTAGAAAACATTTATCCAATATTATCCATGAAGACAAATGGTACCTTCCCTGGCAGTACTTCCTACTTTTTCTTTAGATTAAAAAAGAAAAAAAAAGTAGATATCGGACATCATATCAGCAAAATAGGCTCTCTTAGACATAGAGGTTGTTTATAATTAGAAAAGAAAAACGTAAAATAAACTTTTAAAATAAAGAAAAATACATGGGCGTGGAGGTGCACACCTATAATTCCATCACTCTGAGAGGCCGGAGCAGGAGGATGGCAAATCTAAGCTGAGCCTGGGCAACTTGGCCATTTGGCAAGACCCTGTTTCAAAAGAAAAAGTAAAGGGCTGATGATGTAGCTCCATGCAAGGCCCTGGATACCAAAGTCCCTCAGTACCAGAAAAAAATAAAAGCAACAAAAAAATAAAAGCAACTCGACACTAAGAGAATAAAAATCAGCTATATTGTGCTTAAAAAAAAAAAAAGCTATACTGTGAACCCAAGAGAGTCTGTACCTGAGATCTTATTAAACTAGTAAGTTCCAGCCAGGTCAGAATGCATTTCAGGGATGTGTGCAGTTTTCAGTTAGATAACTAACCGCGTCTGTGGCTACGGCATTGGTAGTATTCTTCCATGGCAGGTTATTTACTCCCTCATTATCAATTGTGCTGTGTGTTCAAAGTAAATGATTCATCGTCACTGATTTCTCTCATCAGAACCACGCGTGGCCCAGCTCTGACTTGAATGGAAACAAGGACGTAAAAGTGAGAATGGACTGAGAGAAAGGTTGCCTCTCCTGAAGGGCAGGTGAAGGTTCAGTGACCCCGGGCACACCGGTCCTTTCTAGGGAATCACTGCTTTGGGGAGGTGAGTGATCCCGTGGCTCATAAAATTTGATGATATTAAGAAGAGGGAAGCAATTCACACTTGAGATGTCAGGGTCACTGTAAGAAATACAGCTTTAAAAATTCAAGAGCAAGAAAAAACTACTATATTTAAAAATGAATTGCTAATGTTTTTTTCTTTTAAAAGTATTGGGGAAAATCCATATCATACCAGCGTTCATTACTTATTCAATGTACACCACTGGGAGATAAATAGAACTGTTAGAATACAAAAATGCCACGGGTAATTCAGCGACTGCGGTGTAAGTGTGGCATAACTGATTTGTCATGACATACAATTTTCTAAAAGCTATTCTGTTAGAAGGCAATAAATGAGTGCATAAATGATTTATGCTCTTTTGAACCATAGTTATTATTCAGTATTTTATTTTTAAAAATATATATACCCTATACTATTATGTTTATTCTCTAGGGTATAATAAAAACATAATTGAATTTGATGAAAAATAGACTTGATTCTAAATGTAGCATATAGCCTGTACAGCTCCTCCCTTATTTTATCCCTCGAGAAGATCAATGGTCACTTGAGGTGGTTCTGCTCTAGGTTCATTTTAATATATGGGCAATAAAATATTTTTTTAATTTTGAAATTATATGCTTGTATTCTGTACTATATTTTCTTTTTAATATTAACATCTAAGTTTCAATCTAAATAACAATTTACAATGCAAAATACAATATCTTAATCACTGTTTTATTTTTAAATATGATTTTTTATTGACCAAGTAGGGCAGAAAATTAAGTACAGATGGTTCAACATATAAAAATGAAGCAATATATGGAAATATTCCAGTAGAGTGACTTGCTTTGTTTTGATGGAGCCTAAATGCCATTGTAAAGGGAGAAGTTTATCTTCTAAAAAGCATTCCCAGTTAAAAAAATTTCCAATTTTAAAAAAAGATCATCTGAAATCTAGATAAACAAACTGTTAATCTATTTAAGCAAATACTATTTTCACTTGCAAATTCCACTACATTAAAAACTCTATCATATCATGTCATTTTATAAATGTATAAAATAAAAATTACAAAAATATACAATGACACTAAAGTTCTATATAGTTATATGTAACATCAAATATACATTCTCATCAATATGGGTAAATTATATATAGACGGTGTCGTTAAATATATGTATATTATGTATGTATGTATAATGACAAACACAAATTAAAATGTTTAATTCTCCCTATTGAAATTAAAGGAAAAATTTTCCCTCCTTAACTTTTCCTTATATAATTTGCCTTAGAAAAGTTAACATAAGTACTTTTCATCTTTTTGACACATACCCTTTGGAAGACTAATCACGACTTTTGTCAGCTTTGTGACCCACTGGTATTCTTCTCAGGAACCTGAGAAATACATTGTTGGAACCAAATATCCAGAGAAATAGTTGCCCTGCCCCCAGTTCTAAGGGAGTGTTAGCACCTACCTTCAGTGGGCAACTGGCTCTACTTTGCCAAACTACCTCCTGTCCAAAAGACATGACAAGTTTATTTCACCTCAAATAAATTCTACCAACACAGGTGGTCTCCCCAACTGCTATGGTAAAGTTAGGATGAACTATGCGTGACAAAACGTGTTGTCAGTCTTCCTACTTCAGGATTAGCAATTGCTCATCTTGTTAACACATATGTAATAGATTGTGTCTAGCTGGACATACATATTTGGCTATATATATATTGGTGAGATATATATATATTCATGAGGTTCCTTTCTGTTGTGGTAATTCTCTTAGTGAGTTGTTTGTGATGCATTTTATATTCTGGGTTAGTGTTTAATCGTTAAAAAAATGTTGCCTTTCTCCACTTATTTCATGGAGAGGATTTTTGAGAAAGGAGACTTTGTTTTTTAGTATAAGTCCCCAAGAATATGCTTACTAGTGAATTCATTTAAGCTCCTGTTATGATGAAGAATTGTCTCAGGAAAGCTGGAGGAAAAGTGCCATAGGAACATTTCACTTGCTTCATTCACTTTCTTTGAACCAATTGAACTACATGTTAAATTTTTAAAAAGGAAATGCTATGTATCATTGCACAATAGAAATTTCTAGTACGATCTGCACATTTAACCCACAACTGAGGAACTAGAACCTTTGACCAAAAGGATTCAAATAAGTGCGCTATCTTATAGCCTGCACATAAACATTTACAGACAAATTCCTTTCTATCACAGAACATGTATTAGTGAGAAATACAAAATTCCAAGAAACCATTAATAGTGATTTAATAAACTAATCTGCCTGTCTGAAGACAGTGCCTCTTATTAAAGTACTAATCAGATGAAAACAATAGTGTAAAATTCTAAGAAAGAGAGTCTAACTAGTATTTTTCAGAAAAGTTAATGATAATTAAAACCTAAAATTATCTAAGAGCAGGAAACAGTAAAACCAGACTAGGTAAATTTTATGTAAACAAAATATGAAAATAACTTGTTTTAAAAAATTGCTATTTACCTGGCAGCATTTTGCTCGAGCTGTTCATCGATGTCACTGAAGATCTGCTTACACTCTGAGTCTCCAGGAAATGAATTTAACAAACATTGTAGGTCAAAAGGAGTGTAGGGATATTCATCTACACAATCCATTCTGAGGAACCAAGAATAAATAACAGAACGTGTCAGTTAGCCTAAAACAGGGAGGGAAAAAAAGAAACCCACCTCAAGTTGTGATCCTAAATCAAAAATAGTCATTCCTATTTATAGACACAATGAGATACAGGAGTGGGAGGAACTAAGGTACTATTAAGCCAGGTAGAGTGTTTTATCAGTTTATGATGTGTAACTTCATTTTCCCACTTGCGTGAGGTTTGAAAGCTGAACACCACAGCCACCCACAGAGATTGCTTACATCGGGCTGCTTCTCACTGTACCAGAGAGCTGCAGAGGAAATCAGAAGGCCCAGCAACCTTTGTAAACAGGGTGAGTACAGCCAGACCTCCACACCTTCCTTGTCAAGATTCTGACCTGTAAATTCTAGCCTCAGCTTGTGAAAAGCCTCATCCCCAGTGTATTTATAAATGAAGAAGGAAACATTCTCCTGGAGCTCCTCTTGCACCCCTGAGATGTGAAGGGTATGTTAGTCCCTCAGGCACATGCACACTGCCACTTCAGAAGCCTCAAGCACTCACTCACTCTTTAGGTGTAATTTACTGACTGTTTAATAGGCAGCAGGCACTGCTGCTGAGGCTGGGATACAACTGCAGAGTTAAAGCAGTTCCTGCCTTTAAGAAGTCTTTACTCTGGTGTGAGAGACAGATTTTAAAATATAACAACAGATGCATTTTGTAAAAGAGCACAGGAGGACAAGTGCAGCAGAGTAGCGAGCCAGACTAAAAATGGGAGCTGTGGCAGGGAGCAGGATGAAGACTCCGAGGAAGAAGAGATAGGTGGGGAAATGCACTTCTTCATTACGTTAGCCACGTAATAGGCATGTGATTCTACCCAGACGCTAAGGTGTCTCAGAAATGCTGTCAGTGGCCGGGCTGCTGACTCTGGGAAAACTACACTATGGCTGGAGTTTTGGTGTAGATCTTAACTAAATCTCCCCAATGCCCAAATGCTAGTTGTTTATCTCAGGTTTTTTGTCCCAGCAGTGGAAAGCTAACTGATAGAGGTCATAATCTTTGACTGGCAGCTTCCCTTTCTGTCATTATCGTTCATTTGGTACATTTCCATTCTCTCTTCCAGGTTACTGATTTGCTTCAAAAGTCTGAATGATTCTTGGTTGTCCATTCTTATTTACCAACAAGAGTAGGTTGATACATATTGGTAGCTAGTGTTAGGGTGCAGAATACCCCTGAGTATGGTGATCGGTACACTGAGCATTGAATTAAAGGAGCTGGGAGGACCTTCGAAGTTGCTCAGAAGCACGCTCTCTTTGACCTTCGTTTTTCTCCATTTTAGTAAGAAGCTTTTTCTTTAACTTTTATTTTTATTAGTATATAAAATTGCATTCATCACAGGGAGTTGGTACATGTACATAATACTTCTTAATTCTTTTTATGTAGGAAGAGGCTCTTTCTGATGTTCCTTTATCTGACTGAAGAAAGCTCTTCCAAAAGAAGTACTGCACAATTGTCTTGTCTTGGACCACCTTCTGATATCAATCAGTGAAGATTAAACTCATATTTGTAGGAAAGAAGACTGAGTAATGTCACATCTGCCTACACAGACTCTGCCAAAAGTGATGGTTTCCAGTCCTACCTAGCTTCCAACGATGATCATTTACAAACAGCTGTCCTACTAACTTACCCTAAAAATTATTACCTAGCCCTCAAACTGCCAAATTCCCCCACTTCCCTCCACACCATGAGAGTATATAAGGCTCTGAACCTCATTAAGCTGCTGGGTCCTCACCTTCCTGTGAAGTCCCCAGGCCACATAAATAAATTTGTGGTTTTTTCTTCCAGTTAAACTGCGTATGGCTAGTTTGTTTCTGCAAATTTAGACTTTTAGGGGGAGGGGGAATTCCCTTCACTCCTATATTACCCAGGGTTTTCTCTATCATTATAAAGATTGTTTTACCCAAAAAGTCTTTTCCTCCTGGGTAGCACGGTTGATTAAGAAACAAGGAATGGATAGCTATGGGCAAGCTTCTCCTAAGGATTTTCAAAGAGAGAAAGCATTTAGTTGATGACGTGCACAAGTGACCCAGCAAACATTAAACCTACACTGGAATAACTAGCTCTTTTCACTCAGTGTTTGACCTGCTTCTTTATTCTCTCCCAGGCCTTTTTGGAGGTCAGGAAGTAAGCTGGGTTCTCACACTCTGATCAACAGCCATTCTGTGTATATTAATCACCTAGATGGTCAGCTTTGTTTACATTCTCAACAGGCAACTGCAACAGCATAATTCAAGGTAGGTGCAGACCTGTGCGACTCCTTGAGAACATTTCTTTAGCTCCTGTGCTCCTTGATGGCTACCCTGCGGCCTATTTCATGTTTTACTTTTTCTATGAATTTGGCATTCTTCAGAGCATGGGTCTTACTACTAAAGCAACACCCTCTTGCAGAATGTAGAGTGTGGTTTTCATGCCTCCTGTATCTTCATTGCTGAGCTTCTATACCTTCCCCTTCCAGGAATATTCCTTGTACTTCTTTCAGTGCTGCTTTTCTATGTGTCTTTACATATTTCATTAGGATTTCAGGACAGAGGAAAAGCAAATATGTGTCTTTAGTCCTGCGCCTTCAGAATTTTCTATATTTACATTCCCCATTCTAAGGCACATGAAAAAAATTATGAGATTTAAACATTCAGAACTTAGTGTAGTCTTTGCAAATAGGTGTGGGCCAAAGCAATGTAGATTGCTTATGTGACATATAGCTATTTTGAAATGCTAATGCTGGCAAATTAAATGCAACATTAAATAATATGAAGTCATAACACCCAACTAGAAGACTGTGGCCAAGACTGATCCTACAAGAAATTCTCATGAAATGGTGACAGTCTGTCTGTCTGATACCTAATATGGTTTGCTTTTGTCTTCCACACATGAATATATATATATTTCTTAGTGGAACATGGGCACACTCCAGGATATATAATAAGAGAAATTTCTAAAAATTAGCTTCTCAGGACGTGTGGATTCGGCACTCAGATTTGACAAGTTGTCACATGTGCTGAGAGCCACTGAGTGGGATCTGCGTGGTTTAAGGGTTCCAGCCTACACTCCACACCTCAGCTGTGCTCTGTTCTTTCCTCTTCATTGCACATAATCAACCTCCATAATAGTTAAAGGCTTTGTATTCACAAGAAAACAACTTCTAAAAGATAACAGTAGAGACTATGACAATGGAAATGGTAATTTTTAGCTTAAAGCAAGACATTCCAGAGAAGTTAGTGATTGGATTGGCTAATAATTAAGAATGTATTAAGGATAAGAAGTCACTTAAAGTTTCTGGCAATATGCCATTAAATATTACAAGAAAATTTTAGACATTTAAAAAGGCAATCAAGTCTCACCTGAGCAACTTAGCTAGTCCCTGTCTCAAAATAAAACGATTTAAAAAGGGTGCTGGGGGGTGGGGGGCTGAGGATGTGGCTCAGTGGTAGAAGGCCCCTGGATTTAAACCCCAGGATCAAGGAACAAAACAAGACTCTATACTATATGCAGCTATGATAGTTAAGAGCCACTGTCTGCCTAAATGAATGAATGAATGAATGAGAGACTGCTGATAAGGTTTCCATGCACATTTGGTATAGTTGTGTACTTGATTATGTTTTCGTTGCTGTTTTGGGAATTGTTTCATTTTTTGAGACAAGGTCTTGATGTGTAGTTCAGGCAGTCTTGATCTCAATACGGACCCTAGGCTGGCGTCAAACTTACAATCTGCTTGTCTTAACCTCCTATACGCAGTGATCACATGCATTTGTCACTATGCCTGGCTTGTTTTGTTTTTCTTAAGGGAACCCTTCCTAAACCTAGTGCTAAAAGACAGGACATTCTCACATTTGTGAGATTATAAGGAGATCAAACATGAAAACACAAGTGACACATAATAATTAGGCATGTAATATAAGAATCTCCTTACTTACTCAAGACAGTTGGTTCCTGGATATTAATGATTGAGCAAATTGTTTAAGTATACTGAAGGAAAATACAAACACCTTTTATTTTTAAATTCTCCTCAAAATGTACATAGTCAAAAATGTGTATTACAAGCTGAGAATGGTGGCCTACGCCTGTAATCTCACCACTCAAGAAGCGGAGGCAGGAGGACTACAGCAAGTTTGAAGCCAGCCAGGGCTATATAGTAAGTTCATGGCCAGTGTGATGCAGTCTCAAAAAAAAAAAAATGTGTATTTCATTCATAATTATCTAAATAAATTTTAAAGAATATTGACTTCTGCAGACTATTAATGCTTAGCTATTGCTGACATAGGAGATTAGGGTGTGGCAAAGTGGCTGGGGAAGTAGGTGTGATTTTTTTTAATTTGGGAAGCAAATACAAGTCTATTTGCTTTCTTGTAAACTATTTCTACAGCACTAACTCTGTGCAAACACAAATCTTTTTTTTTATTTTAAAAATAGTAAATGAGAAACAAACAAAAAAATAGAACAGTAGCAGCATACCAGTATCACAAACATAAACAAATCAAAGGGAGAACATTCAAAGTGATACAGGGTAACAGTTGAGTAATACTCCATTGTATAAAAATACCACAACTTTTTTATCCATTTCTCAGTGGATGGGCATTTGGGTTGTTTCCAAGATTGAGCTATAACAAACTGTGCTGCTATAAACATGGGTGCACGTACATCGTTGCGGTATGATGTCTTTAATTCTTCTGGGAAAAAGCCCAGAAGGGGAATAGCTGGGTTAAATGGGACTTCTAATCCTACTAGTTTTATGGGTGTGACTCTTTAGTAACAAGATCTCAGCACCTTTACACAGAACTGCTCCCAAAGCTCTGCACATAGACTTCTGGGAACTCCAGCAGGTTTTCAATAGGATAACCTGGACCTGAACTCAGCCTGAGGCGGAAGATCCCAGCACTGCCTCCCAGGACATGGATGTAAACATTACTGGTGGGTTCCAAGATTTGGGCCGTATTAAAGGAGAAAGATACCAAGAAGAGCCTGCTTT